TATTTTACCTACGGGTGAAGATCCTATGGTATTCACTAAAATCTCAAGTTATAAATTCCTACCATTTTAATGCCCCATAAGCACCACCCTGAAATGGAAACCGGGAATATCTACTCACTTCCTCCTAATTGCTCTAGTTCTCTCTTTATTCTACCCTACTACATCTATAAATGTCTCCTTCTGTTCTCCATCCCTTTTTTTTTTTTTTTTCCCTTTTTTTTTTTTTTTTTTTTTTTTTTTTTTTTTTTTGCTCCTCCTCTTTCTTTCTTCTTTCCCTTTCCTCGTCTAGGTCTTATACTTATCTGGGGTTGTCATTTATGCACTGAGAACCGCCAGAGTAACTCAGGGTTCCTCAAGCTCTACACTATTGACATTTGGGGCTGGATAATTCTTTGTGGTAGGAGGCTTGTCTGTGCATTATAAGATGTTTAATAGCATCCTTGGCCTTTATCAAATAGATTTCAAAGTCTTCAGACATTGCCAAATGTCCCCCATAGGGAGCAAAATCTTCCTAGCTGGAAATCACTAGAATGGCACATCTGCCTCTATTCCTTAGTACCTTTGTGATTTGGCGTTAAGAAGGGATATCATGATTTCAAGGGAGGAAGCAGAGAAGGAATTATCTCAAAGTAGGTGGCCTCAGAAAGCATCCTTTTCAAATAAGCAGGTAAAGTCCAATTCTTATGTTAATTCTTGTTCATTTGGCAACCTCAAGAATATCCTAAATCTGCAAGTGCAATGCATTTTGCTTGTAAAACGTACTAGTTGCAGGTAACATCGATGCTATTAGGATGGAGAGGCCTTTGTATTTTGACCTCAGAGATGGTGTAGGCAAGAATTTTCAACAGGCTATAAATATCTAACACATTCTTGTATAACCTATAATGCCTCGTTAGGTTAATAAGAAGTGTCACTTTTGAGCCTCAGTGCTTTGTTGGCAATTCACTATGAATTTGGAAAAGGAAGAAACCAAAGCAACGAAATGCTTAAGTGGCGAGAAACTGCCATATGGCTCACTAATAAGGTGTCTTGGGCACTTGTACACCTTTCTAAATGCTGCTTTTCTCCTGAGTTTTTTCTGGTCTTAGAAAACAGTAAGCTAAAATCTTAGGTGCAAATTAGTGAGCTGACAGGAATTTCTCAAGTTTTCAGAAATACTGGTATTAATTTATTCTCTTCACAGTTAATTCTCTAAGCATATTTAATGTCATCTCATAGACAAGAAGCTTCATTAAAAGGCATTTAAGACATTTCGTTGTTCATATTTCTTACAACTTTTTCACCTATAACACTCCTTATTCCCACCAGAACAAACTACGGAATTCTGATATAATCAGTTTCTGCACTAAGAAATGAAAGATTTAGTATTAAATTTCCTGCCAGTCACTTTCTACATAAACATTAATAGCACCTATATCCCATGTGTTTTATAATATGCACACCTAGAAAAAATATAAAAATCAATCCATATCTTTTCAGCCTGTGAATGGTATTTGACACTGTCCATTACTCCTTCCTTTCTGAAATACATTTCACTCTTGGCTTTCGTGATATCACCTTCTCCTTGATTTACAGCATCCCTGCTGTTCCTCTCAGTTTCCATGATTCTTCTTGACTAATGACTCTCTTGAATCTGCACTCTTCTTGACTCATGAATAAATACAGACAGAACACTGGGCCCTCGTCTCTAACTGAACTCCTCCCTAAGTGATCTCCTCCGGCCTTGCAGTTTTAAGCACCATCTATCCATTTGCTGATGATTCCAAAATTTCTATCTCTGGGCCTGAATTTTTTAATGAGGTTTAATATTCATATACCCAACTGCCTACTCACCAACCCTCTTGGATCTAATAGGCATATCAAAACCAATATGGCTAACACAGAACTCTATTTCCTATGCCTCCAACTCATTCCTCCTTTGATGATCTTAGCCAAACATGGAAGTTTATCTCTCCCAGCTTCATGCTTCAACCAGCTGTCCTTGCCCTGCTCAGGAAGTTACTCATTAGCTTCTCCCTGTGCTCTGGCCACGTTAATTCTAACACAGTCTCTTTTTCTTTCCTGTTTAATGAGCAAATTCTGGGCTTCTTGGATCTTTTTTGTTCTAACCATTCCTTCATGCTCAAAGGCCCCTGCTTTTTATCACTCTGCTCACTCCTTCATTGTCCTAAGGAAGGATATGGGAAAAGGTGACACTCCTGACACTCATCCCTGATCACTGCATTTGTTATCCTGGATGTTCAGTGCACAAAACCTTTTGATGTGACATTTGTAATGCAGCAGTTTTGACACCAAGATTTGACTTGACGGAAGTAAACAAAATAATGCAGCAATATTTTGACATAGTCAGAAAAATATCATTAATCCTTCTGAGTGTTATCACCAAACAATACATGTAATAAATAACTCAGTCGGCCAGGCGTGGTGGCTCATGCCTGTAATCCCAGAAATTTGGGAGGTCGCAGCGGGCAGATCACAAGTTCCGTAGACCACAAGGTCAGGAGATCAAGACAATCCTGGCTAACATGGTGAAACCCCATCTCTACTAAAAATACAAAAATTAGCCGGGCATCATGGTGGGCGCCTGTAGTCCCAGTTACTTGGGAGGCTGAGACAGGAGACTGGTGTGAACCCAGGGGGCGGAGCTTGCAGTGAGCCAAGTTTGCAACACTGCACACCAGTCTGGGCGACAGAGCGAGACTCCGTCTCAAAAATAAATAAATAAATAACTCAGTCATATTGTAGTATCTTATCCATCCATTGATCTCCATGAATAGTTACAGATAGGGAATAAAAAAATGTGGTACGAAATGCCCACAGTTTAAATTCTCACACCAAAATGACTACATTGTGTAAGCCAGGAATAATAAGTAAATGTAGTCTCATAAACCTAGCCAGGATAAATCTAATATATTTTGATAAAGTTGTAAAGGTTCAAAATGTCTAAGAGGAAAAAGTATAAACTCTGGAAAAAAAACATATCCTCATAGCATTATAACTACTACTGCCAATTGTTAGAGATCAGCTCTTACCTTTAAAAGCACTATGCTTTTTTTATTTTAATTTTTACTTTAAGTTCTTGGGTACGTGTGCAGGATTTGCAGATTTGTTACATAGGTAAATGTGTGCCATGGTGGTTTGCTGCACCTATCAACCCATACCCTAGGTATTAAGCCCAGCATGTATGAGCTATTACTCCTAATGCTCTCCTTCCTCCCACCCCCGCAACAGGCCCCAGTGTGTGCTGTTCCCCTCTCTGTGTCTATGTGTTCTCATTGTTTAACTACCACTTATAAGTGAGAAGATGTGGTGTTTGGTTGTCTGTTCTTGCATAAGTTTGCTGAGGATAATGGCTTCCAGCTCCATCCATGTCAGTGCAAAGGACATTATCTCATTCCTTTTTATGGCTGCATAGTATTCCATGGTATATATGTACAATATTTTCTTTATCTAGTCTATCATTCATGGGCATTTGTGTTGATTCCATGTCTTTGTTATTGTGAAAGCACTATACTTTTTAAAATAAAATTTATACTTAGACAGTGGCTCTGGGTAAATATGCAAATAGTCACTCTGATGAAAGCTGTGCTCTATCTAAAAATTTAGGTGGAAATTTGTCTTCTAGTGGTTGGTAAAAACAGTCTAGAAGAAGTTCATTTTGTTTTTGTTTTTGTTTTTTCTTAATGTAAACATATCCTAAGTGACTTCTCTTCCTTTCAAGGCCAGACAGAGGGAAGAAAGAACTCTGGAAGTGTGGGATATGATGTTTGAGAAATAAACATACAAGTAAGAACACAAAGGCCATTCCTGCCATTAAGCCTGAAGATAAGCTGCTTCAGCCAAGGGCAGAGTATGATTGGTAGGGGAAGAAAGCTACCTAGAAGGCTACAAGGTACAGGTTTTTCTTTAAATTATTGTGTTTTCTATTTCTGCTAAAGGATGTTAAATTGGAAATTTCAGGCATAGGAAAATAGACACAAAAATCCAAAGTGAAGTGCTAAACCAGGATTTACACATTTATAAATTTAGGCAGAGTTACATTCCTCCCCACATGGAAGTATAAAGGGTTTGAAGAGATTTATTTGGAGAGAATTGTTGGCATGCTGTGATTCCCACATAGCTTTCCTCTTAACAGGGCAGGGTAAGGAGACTCTCAGATAAAAGGGCTTTAATGAGACCAGTTGAAGAGCTTTGTTTGGGCTCCGTGCAGTCTGGAGTAATACTGTGTGCTAGGATCGACATCATGTCTGAGAAATTGAATGGGTAAGAAGATGGCTGAAGAGATCTCTGCATCACAAGCGGGATGAGGAAGTTGGAAAGAAACTGCACCCCCAAAGTCTGCTGGGACAAAGAATAAGAGTGCTCTCCTACGGACATTATATGGGCCATAGAGAGACGTAGACTGAGTTTATTAGATTGTCCAAAAGACCAGGATGAACCACTCAGATTACATTTTAAAACTGTTGCTTGATGGTTGTAGGAAGCAGGGAATTCTCTTTTTCTGGAGGTGATGGAAAAAACATAGTCCTAGTGGCTAATGGCAGTCATCTTGGACCACAAGGTCATCTAGGCCAGAGGTAAAATTGACAGGAAGAGGAGAACAAAACAGAAGGACCAGCAGGAAAGTGGAGTGTGAGCCATGACCAAATGGGATGAGAAATTCACCTTTATCTGGACTTTTTGCTTATGTGAACCAAGAGACCCTTTCCCCGCTAAGCTAGTTTCAGCTGAGTTTTCTGGTATTTGTTACTGAAAGCACTCAATGTTATAACCTTTTCTAAATGATCTGGGAGAAAATCCACAGTCCAAATTTGTGCTACACTAGGGTGGTCCAAAATCAGGAAAACACGAAAGAATCAGAATACCATTTTCACTAGGTTTTTAGAATGAACTCTATCCCTTGGGAAGATGTGAACTCTAAATCAAAATGAGACATTAATTGAAAGATGGACTTCATTTGGCCGGAAGGTAAGAAACAAGGAGAGTCAATTATTTGTTACCTGGTAATGAACTCTCTGGGAGCCAGAAGAAACTGACTGTAGGTCCTAATGAGAAAATGGGGAAAAAAATCCATACCTTAAAATTAGTTTGAAGAAGCTGCGCCACAACTCGATCTCGACTGAAGTCCCAACTTACTATTATTATGCTCATCTGGAAAGTATCCGACACACCCAAATTCATAAAGGTTAAATAAAGAAGGTAATGCCAGAAATCATAAAAGCAAACCAGGTCGGACTGAGAGAAGGTCATTAAGCTATTGAAACCTGTAAGTCCTACATAGTGTTTACAGGTAAGTGATATATTATTATTTCAATCTCCTATAGAGGAGACCAGAAGTAAAAGATAGGCAATTTTGTTCTAGTAAATGGGGATTATATTTAATTTGCATGTGAACTTTAGGCTTGTGAAGAAGGCTTTGGAAATCCCCTTAAACAATTAGGAAGCTTTTCTTTACCTTAGACCAGATACATACTGTCATAGTAACTGTTTATACTGATAAGTCGCTTAGCAAATAGGGGTTTTCATAGACTACAAAGAGAAAAATCACCAACCACCTCCACATTATCACGAAGTGCAAATTAACAGGGTTGAAATTAATGAGGTTTTACTGGCAGATTGTGAAAGCCTGACTCCTTTCATAGTTTTATAACGAACTTGTCACCATTGTCATGCCTCCCAGGCTTCCTTGCTAATGAGTGTCATGATTCTATTTATAGATGTCAGCAATCCTGGGTACCTTTGTCCTTACACCTATTTCCCACAGCGTTTCATCAAAGTACTTTCCATTAGTTTTAAAAACTTTTCCTCTTTATATGTTGAGTTGCCTCTTTTTAAAAAATCCTACTTTTGGTTGAATATTGGTACAATAAACATGCTATTCAGTTAGTTAAGTTGGATTTTAACAAAGTCAATTCATCAATCATGTATTAATATCATTCTACTGTGAAGTCTTGTTAACAAAGCTCTACAAGTATTAATTTAAAAAAAAAAAAGGTAAAAAGGTTTGGTACCAATTATGATTCATTTTTCTCATTACAGGTTTCTGGAGTGAGATTCCACAGCAAAATACAAACATTATTTTGGGAAATGAGATACTAGAAGTTCGGGAGCATATTAATAGAATTGGACCTGAGTCACTAAAAATTCATATATTTTAACTTGTTTAAGTGGCTATCCTCAGTCAAAATAGCTTAACGAAACCATAAGTATAAAATTCGTTGACCATCTTTCTCTCATCCATATCAGTATTCAAGATTTGTCATCTATTTTTCAAAATCAGTAATTTGTCACATCACTATGTGCCTCCCACCTGAATTTATTTCCACCAAGAGAAACAGAATCAAATATTCAGGGATAAGAGGTTACAATGCAGAGTGATTTTAAACAGTATGTATTGACTTTATTTACAATCTTTACCTATGTATAACATGTTGACCGGGACAGAGTTGCTTATCAAGGGGTACCAGCTGGGTACCACCCAACAGCTGTAAAAATACAAATGTCTAGGCCACACCAAGAAAAGTGGCTCTAATCTACATCTTTCATCAAAAAACAATGATAAAGAAATCGTCATTTATGCTTTTTGCAATTTGTGGAATGGAGACAGTTAAAACTCCCCCTCAAATTTTTGCAGAAACAACCAACAACAATTGTAAGGATGAGTTTGGGTCTCCTGGCTTTGCTGGTGCAGTTCACATTTGGGAGTGCCATATATTGGGGTCACTTCCTTTCTGTTTCTCTAAAGCAAGACTAGATTGAGAAAAAAAAAATAATAGATTATTCTCTGTGTTCTGACAAATTACTATGAAATGTAGAAGATTTTTCTTTCCTACAGAAGTTTTATTTATTTTTTTGTTTACAAAATCTAGCTGTCTCTGACATAAGCGTCAGACACAAAACATTACATATCACTGTTTTCTTTCATAATTTAACAGTCCCTGTTGAAATTCTGAACATCTCAAATATACAGGTATGTGTCTGGTAAGATGATAAGTTCCAAGCTATAGTTACAGAACACACCAGGGCAACAGCACCCTGTAGTTAAACCAGTCAATGCTTTCCCATTTCAACTATCTGAGGAGTGAACAACAGAGACAGTGGGAGAGGGTGACATACAGCGTATGCTTGAAGGACAAAGCCACCACATTTCCATTTCCTCTCCAAATGCATCATTTCAGAAGCAAATACGTATGGCTGGTAATTGTTTACAAAAATGGGAAGTTGAGAATAAGAAATGGGCTAAATAAACTCACCTCCTGTAGGCGGTCTATGTACATACGGCAAGTCTCCAAATCACAGTCTCCACGCACAACGAGAATCCCCAGAGGTATCGCTAAGGGTGAAGGAAGAAGAAAAATCTAAAATAACATATTTGATTTTTCTATATCAGCATAAATGTGTTTTTCATGGTTAAAAAACAATCTCATAAATATTATGGGTTTCGATAATGTCCATAAAAAGAAAGAAGTACTTTCTCCTTATACCTTTTTTATTATTTCAGTCTCTTCTTGTTTGCAGTTGTCACACACTTCCCTAGCATGATCCATGTTGCCCCTTGCCAACTGTCCTTCATCTCATTATATTTCAGTGGCCCTGAGATGAAGTGAATTGTCACGGTAACGATGGACTGGCAGAACAGGGAGGCTGCTCATGGCCAGTTCATAATTGTACTTGCATTTTTTATGCTTATGCATAAATTTATGCTTGCATTTGTAATAGACAACATGAGGACGTAGTGCCAGAGAGGAATTAAAAATTGAGGATTCTGAACACTTAATCCTTTCCTTCCTGAATGCAGAGAACTTCATCTTTTTCTCTGTCTACAACAGCTTCCTATTTATGAGACTTGAGCTACTCAAGGCACTGTTGCTACCTCGTGGCCAACACTAGAACTAAAGCATAAAATGTTAGAAAGAAAAGAACAAAAAACAACTTCTAGAAGAGGCAAATCCAACTCATGTTAAGGATGGCCAATGTAAGTGTGGTAACAGCAGGACTTCAGAAAACAATAAGACATGACTAAGTTACGCATCTTATAAAATATCCTACTTAGGTAGTGTCAAACACACACAGTGGCTTTAGTGTATAGAACCTACTTCAGATATAATCACAAGAGTCCTGAAATACTGAAAAACAGTCTTGTTTCCAAAACTTAAAAAAAAAAGTATCTACAAATTTCTTATTTTAAAAGTACAATTACACTATGAAATCCATGATTTAACATAAAACTTTCAAAATTTTGAATTAACCAACTGGAAAGTAGCAAGCAAATGATAAGGCAGTGGTGTTCTCTAATAATTTTTTACAATCATTCACTCATTGAGTGTATTTTTAAAGCCATCATCAATAAATGTGTCTGAAAATACAAAGGACTAGAACCTTAAAAGTTCATAATACACAGAAGAAGATACATGTAAAAGGCATAAAAAACCTTGAAGAATCTCCAAGTAGTAGAGAAGGCATATATATAAACAAAAAAATAATAAGTATAACACAGACCAAATTAAATGTATGAACTTAGTCATTTGAAAACTATAGGAAAGAGGGGCTAATTCTTGCCTAGGCGGAGGGGTAGATTTTAGGCTCTCTGAAGAACATGAAGCCTCATTTGATGTTTTAGCTGGAGGAGCAAAGGTGGTCTAGAGAAAAAGAAATAGTGTTTGTATCTCAATGTTACCTCCTAGATTGGTTTCTGCTAGGGAGACCTAATCAAACCCACTACCCCATTCCTTTATGTTTCTAAAGTCCTGCATACATAAATCTTTAAGGCATCCAAGATTTTGTGGAACTATGGAAGCCTGTGAGTGAGTGTAGATTGTTTACCTTCACTTCCCCAATGCCTAGTAAAGAAATGGCAGATATTCAATAAATGAGTATAAAAAGGAGGAGGAAGATGGGCTTAATGACTGTTTGTATGCAAAAGAGAAAGTCTGTCTTTCAGGTGCAAGTCACCTTTCCAGGGTAGACGAGAAGCAAGGTAAGCAAGAGGCAGTCAGTAGAGGATAAGGAGCACTTTTGTAAGCATCGTATCTTTGGGGGAGTAACAATCATTCTAAAAGAATATTTATCCTTCTTTTAAAAGATAAACAGCAGCATCAAAAAGTTTTCAGCATGGCAATCATGCCTCTTTGTAGGAAAAGGAAGGGAAATTCAATAAGGACATATCTTAAAAATAGTGATTAATCATCTTCAGCTAGACTTACTACAAAGACTGAAATAAGTTGATCCACCAAGATAAGAGCAGAATAGAATTTCTAATATTTGAAGAATGATGAGGAAAAGTTGGAATTTTGACCTAGCTAATAAATCTGGAAATGGAATATAGCTATAATTAACATGAGCATCCACATTGGAATCTTGCTTAATGATATTTCCTCTTAATATCAAATGTGCAAAAGTAGAAAATAGATTTTAATCAATGTTTATCCATTTACTTAAGTTAGGAGATATATTTTATAGATATGCAGGAATCCTGTCAACACCTCTGGTTTCCTTCTATTAGCAGTGTTTGGAGTTAGTCTGGTCCAAGTATAAATTCAATGTATTTGGTAGCAGACATTTTAAACTACAATTAGAGATTGTATATTCAAGATATGGAATCAAGAGGAATAGTTAACAAGAAGTTTTCAAAGACGTGTCATTCATCTCTAATATGGGTATAAAATCTACAACTTCGCCTGTTCTTCGAGGAGCAAACTAAGAGTAACTGCTTTTGATTGAGCAATACTTAGCTGTTAATTGTGAGGAAAAAAGAAAGAAAAAAAGGACATTCTCTACCACAATTTTATAGCATGATTACCAACAACTGTCAAATTTATTCCAAGAAGGTAGCAATATGCAGTAGAAAGGATTTGCCATCATCCACTGCTGGGTTCAAATCCCAGTACAGCTTTGGTCTTGCAAATTACTCAAGTTAGCTACTTAGTCAATTCTTCTGAGCCTTGGTTTAAAGACTATGGTGTTTAGAAAAGATGTCATGTAGGATTTTGTGAAGATTCAATACAACACTATATTCAAAAACAAATTATCAAAACATTCATTTTTATTCTCTCTTACTCTTTTCACTATCTTTTGAGCATCTTTAGCCAGAAAATAGACATACCCAATCATCTTTCTTTTAATTTAGCATAGTACTACAAGCATTAGCTAGCAGGAGTTTAATAAGTTATATTCCAGTTTTCTTAAAACTAACTTCTACTCTTTCTGCCATGTAAAAAAAACAACTAGAGTAGAAAAATATTGTAACCTGACACTTCCATTTGGGCCTTTACATGGTGAAAAGAAAGCAGAAACTTTTCAAAAATTACCACCTTCCTTCTACACTATTGTTAACCAATGGCCAAGCTTCCTTGACATTTCCTCTATTTTACTTAGGAGTAGTGAGAGCACTTATCACCTGAGCTCTAGTGTCACTATCCCTGAGCTCAACAGTTCTTCTTATTTTGGTAGCAGAGACTTTGTTAAGGTCCAATAAGCATGAGTCAATACTCAACCTTCATAATGGAACTTTTATTACAGGGATTAAATGAAATTCACAAGTTCTAAGTGAAAAGAACAAGCTGGGTTCTGCAGGGGCCTTTGAAAACAGTATGCTGAGAATAGATAGGGCTCAAGGACAGTATCTCCAATTGAACTTTTTTTTTTTTTCCTATTTAGAAAACTTTATTGAATATCATACTTATATAACTCCCAATGCAATCCCTCCCCCCTCCCCCCTCCCCATGATAGGCCCCGGTGTGTGATGTTCCCCTTCCCGAGTCCAAGTGATCTCATTGTTCAGTTCCCACCTATGAGTGAGAACATGCGGTGTTTGGTTTTCTGTTCTTGTGATAGTTTGCTAAGAATGATGGTTTCCAGCTGCATCCATGCCCCTACAAAGGACACAAACTCATCCTTTTTTATGGCTGCATAGTATTTCTGTGATAGTTTGCTAAGAATGATGGTTTCCAGCTGCATCCATGCCCTACAAAGGACACAAACTCATCCTTTTTTATGGCTGCATAGTATTCCATGGTGTATAAAGACATTTTCTTAATCCAAATCTGTCACTGATGGACATTTGGGTTGGATTCCAAGTCTTTGCTATTGTGAATAGTGCTGCAACAAACGTACGTGTGCATGTGTCTTTATAGCAGCATGATTTATAATCCTTTGGGTATATACCCAGTAAATGGGATGGCTGGGTCACATGGCATCTAGTTCTAGATCCTTGAGGAATCGCCATACTGTTTTCCATAATGGTTGAACTAGTTTACAATCCCAACAACAGTGTAAAAGTGTTCCTATTTCTCCACATCCTCTCCAGCATCTGTTGCTTCCTGAGTTTTTAAATGATCGCCATTCTAACTGGTGAGATGGTATCTCATTGTGGTTTTGATTTGCATTTCTCTGATGGCCAGTGATGATGAACATCGATGCAAAAATCCTCAATAAAATACTGGCAAACCGGATTCAGCAACACATCAAAAAGCTTATCCACCATGATCATGGGCTTCACCTGGGATGCAAGGCTGGTTCAACATTCACAAATCAATAAACATAATCCAGCATATAAACAGAACCAAAGACAAGAACCACATCATTATCTCAATAGATGCAGAAAGGCTTTTGACAAAATTCAACAGCCCTTCATGCTAAAAACGCTCAATAAATTCGTTATTGATGGAACGTACCTCAAAATCATAAGAGCTATTTATGACAAACCCACAGCCAATATCATACTGAATGGGCAAAAACTGGAAAAATTCCCTTTGAAACTGGCACAAGACAGGGATGCCCTCTCTCACCACTCCTATTCAACATAGTGTTGAAGTTCTGGCTAGGGCAATCAGGCAAGAGAAAGAAATCAAAGGGATTCAGTTAGGAAAGAAGAAGTCAAATTGTCCCTGCTTGCAGATGACATGATTGTATATTTAGAAAACCCCATTGTCTCAGCCCAAAATCTCCTTAAGCTGATAAGCAACTTCAGCAAAGTCTCAGGATACAAAATTAATGTGCACAAATCACAAGCATTCTTATACACCAGTAACAGACAAACAGAGAGCCAAATCAGGAATGAACTTCCATTCACAATTGCTCCAAAGAGAATAAAATACCTAGGAATCCAACTTACAAGGGATGTAAAGGACCTCTTCAAGGAGAACTACAAACCACTGCTCAGTGAAATCAAAGAGGACACAAACAAATGGAAGAACATACCATGCTCATGGATAGGAAGAATCAATATCGTGAAAATGGCCATACTGCCCAAGGTAATTTATAGATTCAATGCTATCCCCATCAAGCTACCAATGAGCTTCTTCACAGAATTGGAAAAACTGCTTTAAAGTTCAT